ATTTCACAGCCTCCTTTTCCCAGCTCATTCTAATGCATTCCACCAGTCCATCCTGCACTGCATGGAGAAATTCTTCCTCTTCTTTGCCTTCAAATTCTCTGTGTGTTTCAGAGGAAGATCCTAGTTTATACATTTTAAAAGGGTGATAAAGAATTTTATCCATTCTTTCCATGTTTATGTTCAATCATATGAATACATTTTAACCTTGCTCAGCCAAAAAGATACTAATAATGGAACCCTATTGCCTCAAAGCCATGTTCAGGGGGTGTATGCATGACACTGGAAACCTTACAGTTCTCCTATGTCAGTGATTTTGTAGAAGGATGCATCTTCTGATGTCTCTTCAGAGCTAAAACCATACATTTCTATGTGTGTTCCTGCATAAATGTCGTCAGAATGAAGTTAACCTTCAGTCTTCCATCCTATAGACCAAAAACAAACAATTTGCACTCTAGACCCTTCCTTTATGGTGCTTCTAGCCTTTTGGGGTGAGGTTAGCTGAGCACCTGTCAAGAACACCCATTGTTCCTCAACTTCCCATATCTGCCTATGTGCAAAACATCTTGAGTCCATGTTGTACTACTGCCCTGCCCATTGTTGTCCTTCCAAAAAATGTTAATTGTTATTCTTGGCCATCCAAAGCTTGCCCACCCATGCTATAAACAAAAAAGAAACCCCACAGGTTTATTGCAGAAATTCAAACTTCTGCAAGTTTGAATCCTTGTGGAACCAAATGACCATCTACATCCCATTCATACTCCATCCACATAGAAGAGGGAGTATAGCAGGAGGAAAGTGGGGAGTACAACAACATTTGTAGGAAGAAAACAAAAGACCTTCAGGAAACTGCCCAGCCCCCTTCCCCAGGGAGTCCAAGGAGGAATGAATGTCCTCAAGGGAAGTGGGAAGATGGCTGATAGGCAGAAGATGAAAACCAGGAGAGGGGAAACAGTCAGTAGATTGGAGTGTCCTGAAGGAAGGCATGGCTGGCTGGCTAGCTGATATCTTTAACTGGATCATTTCACACTGCAGTGTCTTGTTGCAAGTCCCCATTGCATTATCTAATAATACCTGTTGTTATGAACTTCCTAAACAAGGCAGTGTAAATCCTCTTCTCTTGAGCATGTTCTTAGTCATTAGCATGCAAGAAATCAGCCCACAAGCCAGACAACTCATTTGAGACACCCTCCTCTTAATAACAGCGCTCAAGATCTCTGAATGAGAGCATCATTTTAGTTTTTAATTTAATTTAAATGATTACTTTTGTCAAATACAATTCATATTATCTTCATTAGAATGCATCTCCAAATAGCACACTATATTTCAGGTTTTGCTGAACTCTTGAAAGTAGATGTTGAAAGGTGGAGAAAATAAGGAGAGTACTGCTGGTGAAGAGCATGGAAACATTTTTAGTTTTTAGATGGTGACTGAGTGGCACCATTCCACCACCCATCCTGGAAAGTTTTTAGTACTATAAATTCTTTCAGGGTTCCAAGAAACAAAACAACTTCCTAGAATTTTAATTCTTAAGCTTCTTGAGAAAGCCAAGAATGGCGGCATACGAACTGAATAAACAAATAAAATGAGTTTTATTTTGTATATGAGTCTGAAAAGGTGCTACACAATGTTTCTATTGTTCAGCTTCACACACATACGGATACACACACACACAGATATCTTCTTTGTAAAACACCAGATGGGATGTGTGAGCTGAAAGGTAATGCTCTAAAAGTACTTCCTTACATTTCCTGTTTCTTGCACATACATGCCAAATGGCTTCCATGCATATGTAAAAATGCAAAATACTCATGTCAAACATTTGGTTGCAATGCACCAATCAGGTTTCAAGGAGACAAGGCTGGTTGTGGCAACACACAAAAGTGGCTATGTGCTTTCCATGGCCTAATATGTTAATGATCTGCAAAAGACAATGTGCCACCTCATCCCTCAAGATGAAGAGGTGCTATGTTAAAACTATCTGACTGGCAACAAAAATCTTTGGCAGAAAAGCCCAGCTGACTTATGTAAATAAGCAGGGCAAGACATTAAGAAATCAAGATGGGAAAAGCATGATCATCAGCCATTTCAAAAATACACAGAAAACTACACGAAATCAGTACAATGCAAAACAAGAAAAAATCCTAAAAACAAACTAATAAAATGATCAAGAGAATATACAGTGAAATCACTACTTGGAAAAAAAAAGTAATATCAAGATGAGCATGTGCAACTCCTGGTGATTTCATGGACAAATCCATGCAGATTTCTTAGTTACAATTGAAGTGCTTTGACATTGCCTTCTTTGGGGATTTTCCCCCCTAGCCTGTAGCCCTGAGGTTTCCTGGTGGTCTCCCATCCAAGTACTAACCAGCCCAACTGGTTACCTAGTTTCCAAGCCCAAACAATGTCAGTCAAGGACTACTATCTGGGCATTCTTAAATAAGTGTCTTCCAACACTTCTGAAAGCAGGCAAAAAGGGTCAGAACAATACCTCTTTTGAACTTATGTAGTTCTGATTCTGGAATGCTAAAAGGTGAGAGGGAGGGAGGGAGAGAGATTTGTCACAATTTTTCCATGCAATGTTCTCTAGCAGGCACAATTTCCTATCTCAGTGTTCCCAATATATTCATTGAAGATGATGGTAGGTATGCAGGCAGGCAGATATCCTACTTTCCGAATGATGTACTTTTTCAGGTGCAAATTTCACGAATAGAACTCTTTGTGGTTTTCAAGGGAGGGAGAATTAAAAGAAAAGAGATGTGCTTATCATGGGTTTCATATGCCTGTTTTACTTATTATTTATTTTCCTTTTTTCTGATCAGCAGCACAGCCTTGGGGGGAATGGCAAGTTAGAGAGGTTGCAGAAAGGAGACAAGGCCACGGTCACCCGGTTTTATGTGAGGGGATCATCTTCATAAACTCAGCATTCATCAGTCTTAATGAAGGAACATCCTGGTGTAAAATGTAGCTGAATTAAATAGTAAAATAGCAAGGACAAGGCACAACCAGATAAATATAGCAATCACAGAAAATATATAGATTAAATAAACATGACATTTAGTAATCTTCCCCCATGTGATTAAGAATTTTGGCAGTTTGTAAGCAGAATATTTTATGATATTTATGCTTAATACTCACTCTTAAATCATTCATAAGATTTCATTTCATTTTCAGCATACCTTTTGAATGGTAATCTGATCAAATATAATAAACATCATCATAATTTCCTTTGGCTTTATTTACATTTGGCTTCAGTAGCAGAAATGTGAACAGCTCTTGAGTCTTCTTTGGAATTTTCCTATTTTGGCAGGTACAGGCAGACTGTTCAGTCATTCCAATAAAAAGAGCAGTGAATGAGTCTTCAGCCAATTTTGCAGAGTTCCAATGACAACACGGGGAGACAAAAAAGACTATTGATTCTGTGTGACAAGCTCCAAAGTTGCCAAAATATAAGCCTGAACTCAATGTATATTGACATTTCAGCATCCTTTTCGTTTTGGCAAAGCTTTATTGTTAGAAAACTTTGTTCTGAAAAATCTTATGCCCTATTTGCAAATGACACAATGTGATTTTGAAAGAACAGTATGTGTTTCATTCTTAAGAATCAGACAGAGAAATCTTCATATGTACAGTATTCATGTAGAAGGATTTTATTGTCCAAATTTCCAAATAAACATGAGTTCATATTTTTAAAATGATGAATTCCAAATAAAAGGGATTGTGCTTGAAAAGTTTTGTGAGAACGCTGAAGGAGGGGTTTGAAGAAGGAACTGTTACAGTAAACAAAAACAACAACAACAATCCAGTTTGAGAGATTGATCCTTTTCTCTCTTCTTAAACAAGCAGCTAGCCTGCTTCCCCTCTTTTTGAAGACATGGAGCTGCTAAGTCTGCAGAATTGTATGATGGAGGCAACTTATGTAGTCTCAGGCTTGAATCTCTTTGTAGAGCATTCCTCTACAGAAAATCTGGAAAGTTGACTGTCTGGAAGGAAGGAAGGAAGGAAGGAAGGAAGGAAGGAAGGAAGGAAGGAAGGAAGGAAGGAAGGAAGGAAGGATATCAAAAGTGACATGGGAGTTTCTA